TATATATATATATATATATATATTACTGTTTTTTTACTGGGCGAGGAGCATACCTGTTCCAGAAGTAATGCTATACTCCACAGGTGTATATTACTTTCTTCTTCTGGCATACCTGTTCTATTCAGGAAGTTGTTATTTGCATATTTGAACACTGTCATGCCTTCATTGGCCCCTTCATATTTTCAAATCAAGGTTGAGAGAGCTTTGGTTCAACGGAGCTAAGTACCTATCGGAAATACATTTTCAGTATTAGAAAATGTTAACTTTTGATATTTTAACCTTACAGCAGAGCCTTTTGCAATAGAAATTACAATATAGGGCTATTGTCAAGATGCACAGTCATCAGATAGAGTATGACCGGATGTAGCGATATAGACTATTATGATATGGTGAGGCTCCAAAGATCAGTTTAGTATAATGTACTCAAGCTCCGAATTAGGGTACTTATATAAGGATTTTTATTTTATTTTGCAACTTGTTATAAATGTCTTTTTGTACAGCTATGAATGTTGAGTATATTAATTGTAAGTGTTACGATTATAACAAAAATAAAATGAAGAACTGTACATGTATTTCTAGCATTTTACACACATATCTAAGCAATTGTAACTTAAACCCAAAAAGTTGCATTAGAAATACATCAATGAAAGTACCGCCACTTCATGTTAAATATGTATGCTTTTGATTCACAATATTGTATTCAAATAGTAAATACAGTTTTTAAGGTAAATTTTATTGTATTCATGGTCAGTAGAAAAATCATTTTCAAAATCATTGAAGTTGTTTTAATAAAGCTGAAAACAGTCTTCAGAGTGAAAGTACCTATTATTTAGTTACTGTTACTTACTTCACCTCATGGAAGTGAATTGTAAAAATGTTTATGTATGTAATTATTGATGAAAAGAATGATATGAAAACAAAAGTTTTTAATGAGTTTTCAACTACACTGGTTTGAGCTTTCCATAAGTACTGCTGTTAAATTAATTTTCACTGATGTTGCAGTCAATAATAAACAGATATTGCTGTGTGAAATATATTGATTATAGGGTGCACAAGCAATTAGTTTCCCTGGATCTAATATAAAGTGTTGTATTTACAATGGATATTATTATTTATTCTAAAATGTATTAGCTCCTGTAAAATGTGGTACCTTCTAAATTTTCCAACAACTTTTTAATGTTGCTCTAGACACATTTCACATTGTTTATCACAATCACTGTTATCTTTTTTATATAAAAGTAATTTTGTGTTCATATATATTTCAAATATGTGTAACCCAGCAAAAACTGAACAAATAATGTTACAAGTTGATGTGCATATTTAAGAAAGCATACTTACAGATCATAGATATAAGTATGTTTATCATAACCAGTCTAAAAATCCTAATGTGGCTTACAGAGTTTTGTGCAACTTGAAGAATCTCAGGAAATGTATGAAAGATAATTTTGGAACACATTTATGTGTTTAATGTATGTGTAACAGAGTGTGTTCTGTAACAACATTGCATAGCTAGTTTGTGTCATGCCAACTTCATTTTGTGCCAGTTATTTATCACAAAACTTTCTTTTGTGAACTTTGAGTGGAGTCTGTCTTCACAGTTAAAATGTTAACTAAGAGATTAGGTGGAAAACTTAAAAAACAACTTTTATCTATGTTTATAACCAATCATTTGTATTTATTTCTCTCTTCATTGGTTAACAAGCATGTGATAATTAACGATTTAGGGCATAAAACTGAATATTTTAAAATTAAAATGCCATATCAAACAATAACAAAATCTGCTCTTGTAACACTTCATGTCCTCCTATCAAACAGCTCAGTCTTGTTAAACATAAGACAGTACTTTTTCTATGACTTGTAAAAACAATTCATTATCTGCCAAAATATTAAAGTAAATTAGTTGTAACATCAACAGTAGGTTAGATTCTCTGCTAGTCTATGATGATAATAATAATAATGATGATGTAGACTTAGAATTCTCTACAATATTTAGATATGTTTCTGATTATTTTGATGATGGACATTTTCAAAATAGTAATAATGTGCTACATGTAATTATATGGTAGAAAGAACATTGTTGTGTTTTTTATAAATATTTTTAAGTTGTTCATCCATGTATCTGTTCTTTTTTATCAGTAGATAGTTTAAATACTATTAACTTAAAAATAGAAGAATGCTGAATGCCCTCTTTGACAGTAGAATTCATTTTAAATTTTAGTAATAATAGCTGAAAAAATTTACTTGAACATCAGTGTTAAGCTATTTTAAAAAGCTATGATTTTTTGGTTACAAAATTATTTTATTTGTTCATAATCAGGGAAGTTTAAGATAACTTAATTATGTGTGTAATATATGTTTTGACACAGTTGCTAAATCATTGTAGTGCTCATAAGCCTGATGCTTACCAAATAATTTTATAGAGCAGTTCAGAATATTTCTCCAAAGGATATTTTTGAATGATCTATATGTATAAAAAAAAAAAACAGTTTCTTAACTGCTGTAACCCAGATGACTAATAGCACGTTTATTATGTTTGGTTTACAATTGATAATAGTCTTTTAACCTCTGAACATGTAAAAATAAGGTAGTTAGGAACAATGTTCATATTAAGGAATGCAAGCTTGAATAGAATTATTTTTTTGCCATAGAGAATTTGTACATAAAGTTCAGAAGGTGAAACTATTATCTTTTAAAATATTTGAATGACAAATATAGTTTTGTATTTACTGTTTTGTTTTTGTTTTTTCAGAATAAAAATATAACTTAAAAATATATATGATACACTAGATTTTTAGTACACTGTATATCCTGTTTTTTTATTCCTTGAAGATTGTATGTTTGAAGGAGAACATATTCTGAACTCTGAAACAGTTTTTAAAGCTGGAAAAGAATGTCAGTCATGTACATGTAAGGTAGGAATTTCTAGTTTTAGAAGAAGAGTTTTATAAAATTAAGATTAACATTATTGACTTTTAGTAAACATTACTAATTAATCTATTGCAATTTGAAGAAACGAGAGGAATATTTTGTTACACAAAATCATTATTGATCTTAATAACATTGAATTTACAATAGCCAAAGCCTTTGTTTCAGTTTATTTTTAATGTTTTATATAAATAGAGTTACCAGCAAGTAACTCCACAATTTTGATATTTAGAAATTTAAATGAAGGTGGATTTTTAATCCTACCATTATGTCAATATTTATGTTGCCAGTAATCATGGGGAGAAACTACAGCAAGAAAACACAACGAAAAGAAAAAAAAACAAAAAAAAAAAACGAAAAATCAGTAA